AATATAAAACAACAAATGATTAACGTTGAAGATATACATTCAATAATCAACAAGTAACAGTACTTTATTAAATAGAAATAACAAAATGAATATTCATATGAATAATAAATCAATTAATTTTAAACATTTTAAGTGAACCAAAATAAGCAAAGAAAAAATGCATCTAAATAATTTACAAAAAAGAAAAAAGATGCAAAATATTTTTCATCTAATAGTATATTCAACTTATTATATTTTGCTCATAAAATAAAAAGTATGATAAATACAGAATATGTAAATATTTATGTTTATAATTTATTATCAATCGTATTCATTTTGTATGAAATATTAATGAAATAGATGATTTGATGAATCATATTTAATTATTTTTATTCTTTTTATTCTTTTATTTATATGTTATTTATCTATCGTATTTTTATATTTTTTATTTCTCTGTTTATATTATTTATATCATTGTGTTATTCTTATTATCTATATATTATTATATTCTTCTTATTTTATGTTTTTTTATATTTATATTATTTAGATTTTCTTATTGTTATTCTTTTATATCTAGATGTATTTGTTTATTCATCCTTATCATCTTTTATATTATTATCATTTATATCTATTTTCATTTTATATTTATTCTCTTTTGATTTATATTAATATTAATTTTATCTTTTATATTTTGATTTTATTATTATATCATTTATTATCATTTCTATATTTATTTATCATTTATTCTTATTATTCTTTTTTTCTATATTCTATATCATATATTCATATCATTTTCATTTATATTTTATTAAATCTTATATGTTATAATAACATAACACATATTATTGATTATATAATAAATATCATGATGAAGTTATACATATAAATAATAAACATAAAATGAATAAAATATTTTTTATTAATAAAATATTGTTAATCATTTTACATCATTAAATTAGACACTTTTTATTGAATATTTCTAATTTTTACATTAAAAATACACTTTTTATTTCTTCTTTTCATATTTTATTACATCTTTGTGATTTATTATTTTTATATTCTTTATTATACTTTCTTTTTATTATTTCTTCATTTTCTTTTTATATTATTTGTTTTTCATTGTTGTTTATATTTCTTTCTTCTATTATTTATCAATTTTATATTCATTTATTCTTTTTATTTCTTTTTTATTAGTTCTTGAGTATTGTATATTTCTTTATTATTTCATTTGTGTATTATCAAAATATATGTTTTATTGAATTTGTGTTGAACAAAATATTGAATAAATCAATATTTTCATTCTTAATTATTCATTCTTTATTCTGAAATGTTGTGTATATTTATTATATTAAATGAATATGATGAATGAATATCAATATTATTGTTTATTTGATTTTAAAAAATAATAAATGAATATGAAATAATAAATGAAATAAAATAATGAAATAATGAAATGATAATGAAATAGAATAATCTAATATTGAACAAATCTAATAAAGAATATATTGAATATATCATTATTGTTACTTTATTATTTGTTATTTCAATTATTAAATATTAATAAATTATTATTCATGAATATTTAATTGATATTTTACATTTTCATTTTCATTTTATTTAATAAATGAAATATAAATAATAAATGAATGAATAATAATTTAATATATGAAATAATAAAAAGAAAGATAAATAATAAAGAAATATGATGTATTTAATATATAATATAATTTATTATCAAATATAATAATATAAAATGATGAATTATTTTTATTTCAAAATATTTTGCATCAATAAAAATGTTGCTAAATATTTTGCATCATTAAATTTTGCATCATTAAATTTTGCACTTTTTTTATTTGTTTCAATAAAATTTGCATCCTTTATTTTTTTTCATTCTTTTCTTCTTTTATCATCTCTTTTGTTTTATTACACTTTATCTTCTTTCTTTTTATCTTCTCTCCTTTCTACTTTTATTCTTTCTTCATCATATTCTACTTTTTACTTTCTTTTTATTCTTTTATATCATTCATTCTCTTCTTTTTCAATTATTTGCTTTTTTTCGTTGCCTGTTGTGATAATTATTGTTATAATTGTTATTGTAATGATTAGTGTGATTATTCATGTATATCTTTCCATACAGATAATACCTATTTTCACTCATTCTTCTATCATTTATATTTCTTGGTTGATATGAATTTCTTCTTCTTTGTTTATTTGTTTTTCTATATTTTTTGTGGTGCCTCCTGTAATGCATCTTTTTTTAAGCAAAAATCAAGAAGAAGATAAAAAGAAGAAATAAAATAAATAAAAATCATTATTCACAAAACAAGAATAAAAACTAAATATTATTAACAATAACATAATAATTTGGAAGATAATTTTCATTTATGAATGTTTTTGTTATTAAAATAAATAAGAATATAAAGAAATAATAAGAAATGAAAAATATAATGTGAAGCACAAAGAGTCTAGTAGTAGAAATCCATCTTCCAATGTGGATATCCAGGTTAGATTCCTGGATAGTGCATCTTTTATTTTATATTATCTATTTTTAAATATTTAGAATTTGTTTTATTATTTTTCATTTTGTTTTATGATAAATACATTTTATAATTCTAATCAGTAATTATTTCAATTTATCTCTTTTCTTATCAATCAATTTTCATCATGTATTCTATTTGATTTATTATGTCTTATTATTTGATTTTCATAATTTTAATATTTATCATATTGTTCAAATGATTTAATAAATGGTATGAATATTATTTGATTGAATATATAGATTTTAGATTCTTTATTTATACTTATTTTATCAAGAGTGTGGTATTATCTTTTATTTCTATTATATTCATTTATTATTCAATAGTCAATTTATTCTTATTTATTTATATTTTGAATATATTCAATATTATAGAATATAATTATTTGTTATTTTGTATTTTATTTCTATTGTTTTATTATGTTCATGATTCTTGTTAATTTTCATTTATTTTATCATTTCTATTATAGTATATGATACTTACAATTATATATAATTATGAATTCATAATTTAGAATAATTATCACTTTAATATTCTTACAATATTTTATTATTTATTCAATATATTTCATTTATAATACTTTTATATTTTATATAACTTATTCTCTTGTTTTATTTATTTGTAAAATTCAATAGAAGTATAGAAGAAATGAAGGATTAATAAACATAAGTGACGAATATGTTATTGAATTAGTAAGAACAGTAATGTACTACTGTACCAGAGAAAGTGAAATTGGAAATAACATATTAGATTGATGGTACAGTAAGAAGGGAATATGGAATAGAATTAAAAAACATTAATTCATAAAATAAATGAAACAAAAATAGAAGAAATAATAAATGAAATTGTTGAAAAGAAAAAAGAAAAAGAAGTAGTCATAGAAATAAAGAAATTAATGACAAATACATCAAAAAATGGAAGTGTCATCAAATAAGTGACACTTTAGAAGATGGAATGAGTCAAAATGAGTAGATAAAACTACTACAGTGAAAGCATGGAAGTCCATCAATATTAAGAAAAATTCATTTCTCCAATTAACTAAAATGCAAGATGGTGCAATATTTTGTGGGTATAGAAAATCAAAAATAATGAAAAATGAAAGATTAAAATACTACACACTATGTAAAGACAAAATATCAACAGTAAAACACATTCTACTATCTTGTATTTATCATAATAAATCACAAATGTAGAAACATGACAATATTGGCATTATTATATTGATTAATAAGAAAATACACTGGAAATAAACAATATAAAAAACCTTCATATGAAACAATGTTCCAATATAAAGACATTACAATGATAATGAACAAACAAATAATGCCTAAAAGTGATGGACAATATCACAAAATACCAGACATATATGTATTAGATAAAAAGAATAAAACTGGTCTAATATTTGATATGACTATTGTGGCTGATCACAATATTAATTGAGCCTATTGGAAGAAAAGAAATAAGTATAAGAAATTAAAGAATATTCTAATGAAAATAGAAAAATTAAAAGATGTCAAAATAATTCCAGTAGTAATCTCAATAAATTGAATAATAAATAAAGAAAGTGTTAGATTAATCAGAGAATTAAAAATTGAAATTGACATCGAGAAAGAAATTAAAAACCATGTAATTAAAAACATGATTGATGTCATTGAACACTGCTTGTATCACAACCAAACATACTCCGTAGAGCTACTAGCAGAAGATGAAGACAAAGAGATGTGATTAGTCTCCATTGAAAAAAAACTTAGAAAAGCTAAATCTATTAATACTTAATTATTTGTTTTTATTTACCCTCTATGATACTCTTCATTTTTCTTCTGATACTTTTTATCCTTTAATTATTTTGATGATATTTATAACGTTTTATTCTTTCTCTTTTTTTGTTTTGATTCTTTTTCAATGTTTTTGTTTTTTTCAATAAATTATATAATTATTATATCTAAAATTAAAATTAAAAATAAAATAAAAAAAGAAAGAAAAACACAAAAGAAAAAACCCTAAAACACAAAAAAAAGGGTGATAATTTATAAGTAAAATAAATGAACTAAAAAATGTACAAGAGCTTTCTCCATGCCACCTAAACCAAATCCAAATGAAAAGAAAGAATTAGTTGTTAAAGTAGTTGCAGGTGATGCAGCAGCAGGTGCATCTCTTGGACCAAAGGTTGGACCTCTTGGACTTAACCCAAAGAAAACAGGTGATGACCTTGCCAAATCAACACTTGCATGGAAAGGATTGAGAGTAACAGTTAGAATTACTGTTGTTAATAGAGTAGCTACATATGAAGTTATTCCATCAGCTGCTGCTCTTATTCTTAAAGCACTTAAAGAACCACCAAAGGATAGAAAGAAGAACAAGGGAATTCCAACCGTTCACTCTGGATCTATTTCAATGGATGATGTTTATGAAATTGCTAGAACAATGAGACCAAGATCACTTGCTAAGACATTTGCAGGAACAGTTAAAGAAATTCTTGGAACCTGCAATTCATGTGGATGCCAAGTTGATAAGAAATCACCAAAACAAGTAATTGCAGAAATTAACAATGGAGAAATTGAAGTTCCAGAGAATTAATTTAAGTGATTTTTATTACAATTTACTTAAATAAAAGTGAGTTTAAATAGTGAATTAATTTTTTTTTAAATAAATAACAACACAAGACATTACCAAAATGACAATGACACAAATTACCCAACAAATTAAACCAACGTATAATGCTATTGTAACTATAAAATTGATAATAATATCAATGAACGAATTTCCTGACACTTCAGGAAATTGTTCATAAATATCATACTTATCAGTTCCATTGTATAATTTAGGTTGAACCTCTTGTTTATACGATTTTTTTCCGTATACACCTTTTGGGATATCACTAACTAGGTATGTAAATAAAATAAATAAGAAATAAAAGGTTAAAAAATAACAAACAATCAGCGTGTTGGACAAGAGACACTGGATACATTCCACCATCATCACCTCCAATTCCACAGAGTGATTTAGCAGAAATCTTTATAAAACCATCAATACCCCAATTTTTTCCCCAAGAATTTCTAGCAATAAGATATTCTTTTCCATTTTGGTTGCCATACCCAATAACCTCAATAACATGATTAGTGATAACATTTTTTGTACAGCTATGTGAATAAATTCCAGAATGGTAATACAACCAGTCAGATGATGCTTTTACAGAAGTAATAAAAGAGCCATAATGGTATATTATTCTTTTTAAAACTTCAAAATTCTGTGCTGAATCAAATAATGAAAATGAAACCATCATTGGTGTAGGTTTATCATGGATACAAGAATTATTAACTAAGGTATTGGAATAAGAAATGTATGGATAATCTTTTTCAAATACAACGTAATGAGAAGACATTAACGGTTCATCTGAAGTACCTCCCTCACAATAATAACTATTCTCTGTACAGTCCATAAGTTGTTGAGGACTGAACATTTCATATTCAACCTTTCCTCTTTGAGTTAAAGTTAAATTAGCATATTTTAGTTGGAGTTCATGTGCATTAGAAACAGCATAACAATTACCACAATCACCTTGGTCCATCACTATTCCACCACACAAGTCTATATTGTTTGAAGAATTTTGACCTAATAGTTTGTTTTGAAGACAAGCAGAATATTGTGTAGGAACTTCTCCACTTGGAACAGGAAGTTTGTAATGAGTTGTTTGTTTTGGTTTAAGTGATTTTAAGTTAATTTTATTAAATCTTCTTGCAAATTCCTCAGGTTTTAGATCACTAAAAGCATTTATTCCAAATACAGCATCGTCTGTGTCAATTCTTTGAGAATTTAATTGATTAATTCTTTTAAGGTTTGAAAGAAATATTGCTTTACGAGTTAGTTCTTCAGATATAGAATTATATACTTTCTTGTTATCACTTTTCCATTTACTCCAATAAGTTTCAAACTTTATTTTTATAATTTCATTTGTGTTAGTTGTTTGTTTAGAAAAAGAGAAGATTAACAGAAAAGTAATGATAAACAAAATTGACATATAATTAACTAGTTTTTAGTTTAGTATATTGATGAGAATAAATTATAATTATAGTATGTTTTGTTATACTCTTATTATATCTCTTTTTGGTTTTTTACTTGATAAATGATATTATCACAAAGAGAGGAAGTATTTAATAACTAAAACTTTAAACATAATCAAAATAAATTTAAACTCTCAGACATATTGTGTACAAGACGTTGATTTGAATTTTTTCTATCTCCAATTCTGATAATGGAACGAATTCTTGGAGGTGTTAAATTGAGTTTTTGAAAAGAATTTTGTTTCATCAAAAGTGTTCTTGTTTCGTTATAAGGATGTTCTAATATACTAATAGCACTCATTGGTTTGTAATCAATTTCATTAAATATAGATTGAATAATGTAATCAGCTGAAAGGTTATGTGGAGCAGCAGAAGGAAATGGTATAGGATGTATAGGCTTTAAATCTAAATCATCTAAATGTAGAATGAGATAATTAAAAAGTCTTAGTTGATTATCAGGATTAATTTCATTAATAAAAAACTTTGAGAAATGACCCAATGAAGAGATATTTGATGGATTTATATTGACCCAAGAATTAAATAAAATTAGTAATGCATGAATGATAGACAAAGACATTGTCCCTTCAACTGACTTAAGTAAAGTTTGGGATATTGAAATCAAACTTTCTATAAATGAGATTTTTTTTTACTAAAATGAATGAAAAAAGAAAAAAAAAAGCAAACTCGCATCAATCAAAGAGTCATGAACTAATGATGAACATGAACAATCAGATAAATGACCAAATAATGGTGCTTCAAGTGATGATAAATATAAAAATAAAGCACCTACTAGTTCAGAGCTTGAAGCAGAAAAAAGATCAATATTGTTTCCTAATTCACAATTTCTTAATAAATTTGATGCAGTTGATACATCAAAGTTACTAAAAAAGTTATTATTATAGAATGAAGGATGCAAATAAATAGCTTCACATAATGAGAAGAATAGTTTATGTAATCCATAAGAATTTGGAAGAAGATATTCTACACTTATACCACATAATGCCGGAGATTGATGATATAAAGTAATTAATTGATGAGAAAGTTCTCGAGAACAAGTTATAACTAAAGGATGATTTTTAGTATAAATATCATTTTTTGTGATTAAATGTAGTTCATCTAATAAAGGAAGATAAATAAGTTGAATTGAAGATAAATGAAAAATATGAAATAAACTACTAGATTTTAAAATAATAAATGGATGAGCATGAACTATTTGAAGAGGTAAATTATTTGAACTAACTTGATAATGATAGAAATACGAAGAAGATAAAAAAGAGTCTTTTAAATCTTTTGTAAAAGAAGAATAAGGAAGTAAAAGAATAGTTGAAATATTAGTAATATATTCATAAAGAGGAAGATTCATAGTAATAAAATTATCAGGTTTTCCATTTAATAAATGAATAAAACAATGATTTATTTCCATATCAAATAAAATACTAATAATTGGAATTAATTCATTCATTGTTAAAGAAGTATCTAAAGGAATATTTAATTCATAATTAATATTTCTAATTCTAATATATTTTGTTTTTTCTAATAATGTTATTATATTCTTTGACTGTAAATATTTATTTTGAATATCAGAGAGAATAGTAAATAAAGAAATATTTATTATTTCTTGTTTCTTAATTATTACAATTCGTTTTTGTTCTAAATCATTTTCTTTTAATCCTATCCAATTAATTAATAAATCTCGTATACTCACCTTTTCATTAACATAAAATACTCTTTTTATTCCTTTTAAAATAAAAGAAATTTTAATTAAATCATTTCTTTCTTTAATTTTATATTCTTCGATAATAGAATTATCATAAATTTCTATTACTTTTTCTTTTCCATTTTGAGGTTCAATTTTTCTTGATAATTCAAATTTATCATTTTCTTCAATTTCATTTGCATTAAAAATAATTAAGAGATATTTTTGTAAAATAGGATTAGCATTAAAAGGATATAATTTTTGTTGAAAAGATAATACGTTTTGTGCTATTGCAGATAATTTTTGACATTTTATAAAATTAATTAATTTATCTTCAGTTTGAGTTTTAATACCATCTGTAGTAAATAACATATCACTTAAAAATAATCCAATATATGGAACACATGCAGTATGTTTTACTTCTTCTAATTTTTTTTCTATAAATTAACCAATTATTATTTGGAGAAGCAAAACCAATAAGTTCGTTGAATTTATTTTTATGAAGAGAAGAGATATTATTAAATGTTTTATGAAGTCTATGAATAGCACTAGTTGAAAATAAAGAAACAATACAAACAACAATATTATAATTTTGTAATGTATAACAATAATATGCAATATCAATTATATGTTGTAAAATTTTACAACGTTTAAAAATATTTTTTTTATTAAGAATTTGAATAGCAAAAAAATTTTGAATAGCATTAAAAACTTTAATACATTTTAATAATGTTTTACATTCATCATGACATTTATTCCATAAAAATAATTCAAATAATTTTATTGATCTAAAATAATATGATGTAATATATGTTAATTGTTCTGAAAAATCTTTAAATGGAATTTCAATAAATTTAAATTTATTTTGATTTAATAAATAACTAAATGGAAGACGTATTTTATTATTAACATTTTCTGGTGAAAGAAATACAATAACTTCTCTTCTCATTTGATTTTCTAATAAAATGACTTGTTTTTTCATTCCATAATCTTTCATTCTTTGAAGAAAAATATGAAATAATTTTAATGCGTCTTGTTTTTCTTTTTCAGGTAATAAAGGAAGAATTGTTGTTGACCAATATGATAAAATACTTACAATTCTTGCTTTAATTATTTTACTTAATGAACAATTAATTGACGTAGCAATTTCAAATCTTTGTAAAAATTGAAATAAAACTTCTTGTGTAGAAACAAATAATCTATATCCCCAAATAAATTCTTTATATATTGTTGGTGATATACATGCTAATCCAATTAATTCATCTAATCTTCCATATTCTATTTTATTCATTTGTTGAGGAAAATGAAGTTGTAATTGTTTTTCTGTTATTTGTCCTGGTGTTGGTTCTTGCCAATCAATTGGTATATTAGACGTTTCTTTTATTAAATGTAAATGTCTTTGTATTTCTGTTTGAAACGTAATTCTACTATCTGAACTATGATCACTCTTAATATAACTTCTTAATGTAAAATATGTTATCATGTTTATTTATTATTGTATTTTATATCTTTTGAAGATTATATTTACTAGTAATTACATTTCTTATCTACTTTACATTTTTTATCTTCTACTTCTTTAAAAATTCTATCTTCTTTTATGTTGAGTTCTATTTGTTATATATAACGTCTAAATCTCTGAAAGACTGAATCAACTAAAATAGAGTGCTAAAAATATAAAAAAGATTATAAGTAAAAGTCAGAAGAATTTATAAACAAAATCAGGTGATAAACATCAAAAAAAAATATATATATTTTGGTAGTACAAAATAAAAAATAATACAACCTCAAAAATGAAAACCGAGATATGAAAAAGAGATTAAAACAGAAATGATTAAATGATTGACGGAAATTTTGAAATTAAGATTAACTGACTCATCACAAATCATCAAGATTTGGCAGAACCATAAAAGAAGAAAGAGAATCTATAAAAAGTATATCAAATAAGAAAAGGAATGTTTAATCAAGAACAAGGTACTGATTATCCTGTTTTAAATAAAAAGAAATTAGAGAGTCTTGCTAATCTTAAGTTGGCTATGGGTGGACATGAATATCCAACTGATGATTTGACACAACAAGGATTAAAACTTGCTGGTCCTTTATTAGAAGAAGTAGAAGAATCTGAAGTTAATCATACTACTGCACCAATTGATGCTAGACTTCAAACATTCCTTAATTCATATTTTGCTGAATGTGGAGAAGAAGTACCAAAAATTCCAGATGATACTTTTATTCTTGATAGAGAAGGACTTGGAAGAGTATTATCATTCCCACCACATAAACAAGAATTTTTCTGTGAAACTATGAAATCATATAAAATTAAACAAGGAGTACTTCATAATCCAGCTAAAGATAAAAGAACTACTGTTGGTGTTTTCCATATTTGTCAAAGTGATGTTCCAGTTCCAGCTGATAAAATTGAATGTCCAAAAATAGCATTCTTAAGAATGCTTAAAGCAGCATTTTATGGAGCACCAGATGATCATCTTATTATTCCATATACAGCTGAATGTAAAGAACCAACTAGATCATGGGTTTCACTTTATATGAGACCAGTTGTTGTTCCAGGAGTTAAAGGAGTTAAAGGATTTGAACATGAAAAAGCTACTGAAATGCATTTCTTTGTACCAGGAAATATGGTGTCATGTCTTGATTTTGTAGAGTCAGTTTTTGGAAATGCTGGTAATCCAAGATTATCTAAAAATGATGCTGCTCTTGATCCACTTGGATGGACTGGACATAGTGGAATGGCTATTCTTGCACCACATCTTACTCGTATGACAAAGAAAGAATGTGGACTTCCACATATTAGTCAAGCTACTGAAAGACAAAAACGAGAAAGAATGTGTTGGGAAAAAGAAGATGAATTATATAATGATGGTAAAACATTCAAAATGTATTGTAGAGATGCATCAGGAGTTATTTGTACTATTATTGCAGATAATTACTTTGGATATTGTAAGAAAGAAGTTAAAACACAAATTTCATATTCAGCTAATTTATATGGATTTGCAGAAGAAGAACATGCAGGAGGAGCTGTTACTAGACCATCATATGATCTTGGAGAAGCATGTAAAGCTGTTCAATATGCAGAAGGATATAAATTTAGTGAAATGGTTGAAAAGAATAAACATTCCATTATTGTTAAAGAAGAAGGATATGCTGTAGATAAAAAATATCCAGAAGGAATTATTTATGTTCCAGAAGATTCAGTATTTACAATTGAAGATGCATCAATTAAATTCAATCATAATGGAAAAGAAGAAAGTATTCTTTTAACACCAAAAGTAAATTATGTTTTACCAAATGGATATACTATTATTTTACATGATACAATGACATCCAGAAGATGGACATTAAGAGGAATTCTTCCACAATATACTCTTTGTCATAAACCATGTACTGTTTCAGGAGGAGGAAAATCAGAAATTTCAAAGAGTATTCGAGACGCTGTTATTGAAGGAAGTGTCTTTGTTAATAACAAAGAAGAAGATTTTAAAGCAGTTCAAGAAATTTTTGATCATGATTTCTCTAAAAGATATGCAAATGGAGAAGTTAAACCAATTCATATTCTTGATCCAAATGTTACTCTTGGAACAGTTGTTGAATTGTTAACACCATCACACCTCTTTACTAAGGAACATAATGATTATATTTCATCTATCTCACCATTAATTGTAGAATTAGTTATGACTATTAAATCTCTTTATAGAGAGGATTGGAAAGGAGATTGGCAATCAAGAATTACTGTAGATAAAATTAATGGAAATGAAGGTAATGAATTAAAGTATAGAGGAGCTAACCTTTGTTCACAATATCTTAGAGTTGGATTTGAAAGAGATGAAACTACATGGAGAGTTTTCCAATTAAGAAAAGATTTCTTCCCAGCAGCTAAATTACAAATGGAAGATGATATTACAGCATCAGTTATTGTTCCAACTAAATTACTTAAAACACCAATTAATAATATGCAAAAGAAAGCATGTAAAATTGTTAAGAATTGTGAATTAAGATTATTCCAAAGACCAGATGATGCAGTTTTCAGAGGATTTGATAAACAAACTGAATATGATTTCTCTATTCCAGGACATTTCATTTCTAATTATCAACCAATGACTAGAGAAGAAGCTAAAGACTTCACTAAAGATGTTGTAAGATTGTATCAATACACTGAACCAATGAGAAAATGTTTACAAGACTTTGTTGCAGGTAAAGATGAGGCTAAATATATTGTTTCATCATCATACACTAGATTAGTTCCAGAAGGAGATAAACTTGTTGGATCAAAGAATCCAAGATATTTACAAAGAAGACCAGATATGTTAGATCCAGAATATACCTACATGACATTTAAAGCTATTCAATTATATAGAAAGATTAGTGATGAAGAACCATTATATACTCCAGTTGATGCTGTTCTTTCAGGAAGAAGAAACAACCCACCACAAGTAGCCAAAAATGGTATGAAATTAAGACCATTATCAGTTTTTGCACCATTACACTATTTTGAATTACCAGAATTATTAATGGAATGTATTACTTCTATGACAGGAGCATCTCCATCAATGTTTGGAGCAGGATCAGAAGGAGCATTAACTAAAGGACCATTCAATTCACTTCCAGCTGTAGTTGATTTGAATAATTATCTTCTTGGAATGATTTGTTGTGGATATTCAGGATTTGTTTCATCAGCATCATATTGTGGACCACATTATAAAGTTGCACATGATATTTCATTATTAATTCCAGAAATTTGGTCAAAGATGAGAAGATATGAACAAGAACCAAAATATTTGATTGAACATGGATATCTTGAACCATGTCCTGATGTTACTTATAATGGAAAAACATATTCAGGAAAAAGACTTGGATATAGAATTACTACTGCATTTGCTAATCATTTCTTGAGAACATTATTCTCTATGCCAAATTCTGTTATGCCAGAAGATTTCCTTAAACCTGAATTACAAGATTTAGCTATTTATGCAGATTCATATGAATATATGTCACAAACTGATAAAGGAATTGCTATGAATTATGTTAAAGATGGAACTGTTGAAGGAGCATGTCCACCATTAAAAGCACTTATTTACATTATGGCAAATGGTGAATATAATGGAATGACACGAGAATCTAAAGAATTTAGAGAAATGTTTGATCCAGAAGTTGTTCTTAATAGTGAATGGTATAAAGAAAGATTAGTTACAAGACAAAAACTTGAAGTTGCTAAATTAAATAAAGACTTAGCTTATTTGAATAAGACAATTGCTGAAAAACCAAGATTAGTTGAAACACTTAATAAACAAATTGCTGCTGTTAAAGAAGAACTTCAATATGTCTCAAGTGAAGAATATCTTATTGATATTGACGGATCTATTGGAACTGATCCATATCCATACAAATGCATGAAACATTAAACTAATTAAGTTTTTTTGTTTGATTCATTCAAATAATTTAAAAAGTACTTTTTATTAAAGTAATTTAAGTGATAATACATGTACTAACAATAACAGGTTACAATAGAAAGTAATTTTCAAAATAAGTTTTTCTTGTTTCTTCTTAAGTATTTATTAAGTTACATTTTATTGTAAAGATAAACCATTTAATTTATAACCCAAATATATTACTTAAATGATCAGATGAACCAGTAAACACCTCTAAACAAGAATTTTATAACTATAAAAAAGAGACTTAAATAACAAATAATTGTAAAATATATTAATCATATTATATACCCATTAGCTTATGAATATTTAACAGAACTTATAGAATGATATTAGTGTTTGTAAGTTTAAAACCAAAAACCATTTCTTGAAATAATTTTTAAATAATTTAATTTAAACAAATAAGTAGTAATGATATGCATTATATATATAAAAAGATTAAAGAAAATAAATTCTTCCAAATATAAAGTAACAATTATTTTAGTATTTATAAAAATTATTCACTACAACGTTTAATTTTTTTATTATTCCAGAAAAATAGAAACCTAAAACAACGTAGTTTTAAACTCGATAATCAGTAAGAATGTTAATTTACTCATCTAGAATTAAAGTTAGCATGACCAGCCTTTGGAAGCTTAGCATTTGACTTCTTATAAGTGTTAGTAGCCTTCTTTCCATTAGCTTTGGCTTCTTTTCTTGCAGCTTCTTTCTTTGCAGCGTTTTCAGCTTTCTTTTCTTTAATTTCCTTAATGGCAGCGTTTCTCTTCTTAGCAAGAACTTCAGATGATTGAGTTTGTTTTCTTTTAGCGATTTCTTCTGCAGAAATACCAGAATATCCTCTGTTAACCTTAATTACTCTTCTAGTCTTCTTCTTTTCAACAAGTTCATTTTGTTGTCCTTTCTTATTTAATTGTCTGTAAATGGCAGTCCAGAAAACCTTTCTTGGATTGGTCTTTCTCAAGAATTGCATAAGGGATTTCTTGTTAATGAAAGTGAAACTTTTAAGGTCTAAACGTACATATTTACGTCCCTTGGCAACTGG